TATATACAAATTGCTTATCAAAGCATGTTCTGATGTATTGCATTTCTGGATAAACCTAGTCTTAATGTCATCAATTTTGAAATCTAATTTTGGAATGTTCGCCTCTTGGTCGAGGTCTGAAATTCTTGTGTCAAAGGGACGATCAAGGATCATCCTAAGCACTCTGTTCTGAGCAACCTGGATTTTGTTCCTGTGAGTGTGAGCACATGATCCCCTCACCGGAACTGCGTAGAGGATCGCAGGTGATTTGTTTGTAGACAGCCAGTTTGTTCACCCTTGAGAGGCGGGATCAACGGCAAATCAGCGGATACAGACACCTAACCAAGGCGGAACACTTGATTACGGTTTTCTCCACATGCGAGCGGAATAGGAGCTTTTCGTCAAACAACATCCCGAGATAGGTTACTTCGGCGGACCACTCAACCCTTGTGCCATCCATGATTACAGTACAAGAGGGAGCTGGTTTTAGTTTGGGAGATTTCCGATGGAGGAACAGTATTGTTTGGGTTTTGCAAGCATTGATTTTGATTTTCCACGTGGTGGCATAATCAGCAAAGGCGTCAAGGCATCGTTGAAGCTTGTTTGTTATTTCACGAGGCATCCTTCCCTTGACGGTTATAGCGGTATCATCTGCGAACAGAAATAACACGCAACCGTCACCCAAGGGAGGAATGTTGGAAGTGTAGATGCTGTATAGCAAAGGGCCCAACAGACTTCCTTGCGGAACACCTGATGGGATGGAAAATGTGCTTGAATTGCAACCATTCAACGATACACTGAACAACCTTTGCTGGAGGTAGTTACGGGTGATTTTAACAAGATGCAAAGGAAAGTTGAAGTTACAAAGCTTGTATACAAGCCCATTGTGCCAGACATTGTCAAACGCTTTCTCAACGTCTAACAATGCCATGGCTGTAGACTTGGATACAGACTTGTTACTTCGGATGTTATTCATCACCCGTACTAGCTGATGATTTGTGGAGTGCCTTTCCTGAACCCGAACTGTTCCGTATGGAGAATGTTGTGTTCCTCGACAAACTTGAGCAAACGATTGAGAATAAGTTTCTCGAACAATTTGCTCAGCGCTGAAAGGAGGCTGATTGGTCTGTAGCTTGAAGCTAGCGTTGGGTCCTTCCCGGGTTTGCGGATAGGTATGATTTTCGCTGTCTTCCAGATACTTGGAAATTAGTGCAGTTCAAGCATCTGGTGAAGACAGCAGCCAGCAGAGAGTGAACCTTCATGCTAAGATTTTTCAATACTAGGTTGAATATTCCGTTAAACCCGGGGGCCTTCATGTTTTTGGTGCATTTCAGCGCTGAGCAAATCTTTTCCAATGTGATTCTATCCTCCGGAGGGATGACACAAGGGGAGGAATCAAGGTTGAGTACGAATTGCTCAACCTGAACTTTGGGTGGACTTTGGATGTTGAAGCCAAGCAAGTGCGATTTGGCAATATGCTCACCAATCATAACTAGCCAGAATTTAGAAATAACCTAAGTTCAAAGAGGAGATGAGAGGGTCATCGCATCATCTACTGTCAGACGTTATACGATATGTGTTTTTCGTATTAAGAAACGCAATGAACAAGTTTACACCCACGTACCCACTCATACGTTTGTACACTGAGGTAAAGGAATTCCGTAGTAACTACTCATGAATTTTAGCCACAAGAAATCGGTATGAATTTCATTGATTTGCCTTATAAAAAATAATGCTGACAAAAAAAATATATATAAAAACGCAGCAGACTGGAACCAAACCATAGAAGTTGCGATTACGGGGCCCGTGTGTTGACCACTCTTCTTTCAACGCTTGGGTAAATGAAATAGATAAAGGCATATAAGAGCTACCTCACGATAGACGAAAATCATTCATAAGTCACGCTTATGAAATTCATATGTGTCGTTCATAAGTCGAGCCATATGAAATTCTTAAGTTTATTTAGCACAGTTTACATATACAACAAGTAAAACATTGGTGAACTTCACACACATGTTGTACCGTGAAGACTTATTACACCACACGGACATTTTGTGAATAGGGGTTTTGATCTAATTTTCGTCCTACTAAGCACAACCCGCGCTTTACCTCTCTTTTCTGAACGATTTTAAACAAAAAATGAAATGTTTCTGTCAAAAATGACTAGCAAATTTATTCACCTTTCTATACGTACCTTTGGATTTTATAAAGAGTTACACACTGTTGAGATATTGTTTAAAATACAACACTGCTTCTTGATTATAAATTCGTTCTACTAGTTTGAATTCCATCCTAACACATTGAAATGGCATTAGATTTTCTTCGTCCTACGGATAAACGTAGAAACAGGGGATTCGCTAGGAACGCTTCTTTGGTTTTGAGAACAATAAGCATAAATGTTCATACAATGCGCTCTAACAGGATTTATGTTGTAGCTAATGAACTAACGCATCGGAACAAACCTATTATTGATTTGTGCACGGTGAAATAATTGATATTATTGATCTTTTCTGATCGATAGAACGGAAATGGGCGATTACGACTAAGTAGTGATCTTTCCTACTCAAAAGCAGTGTTGGGAAAATATCAAAAAATCAAATCTCACCAAAGAAGAAGATCACGCACCAAGTTGTGGTGAGATTGAGTTCCATGATTTTGGCTTTACACCCGATCGCAACCGAAACTTCCATAACGGCTGGCAGCAACCGCTTCGTGTCTGCCATCGGTAAGGAGAAATAAGAAGTAGCATTATTATACCGTCTCTTTCTAAGAAAACGAGGTGCAACGGAATCATTTTTGCGTCGATTCAACTCTCAGTTTCAACTTAACACGTTGTGAATAGTCTCGCAATATCAAAGGAGCTTGCAAAATCAATATCAAGCATTATATTTTGCTCCAATATCACGCGTGATTTTGAGAGCGTAAAAATATCAATTTGCTAATGATTATGCCATAACCGCTCAAAAGTGTTGACAATCATATTGATGCAAATATTGGCGCTAAAGGGAATTATTGACAATAATATTGATGATATGAATACATATTTCCATCAATTGATGGACGTATTGATAATATTTCTGCCGTGAGAGTGCACTATTGACCACATCTAAGACCAGGCGCCCCCTCACTGCTGCAGCGGCAATATGGTATAATACAACATATCAAGACATCATGTCGATCGGCGAGCGCCGCCTTGATGTTTTGACATGCTTGCAGATGTCACAGCGGCGCCACAACAGTGTGCTGTGCACCTTGCCTAATAAAGAAGTTCCATCGTGCATGGAGCGGGATTTACGATGGTATAAGAGAGGCAAAAGTACTAGTTGTCTCTCTCATACCAACGCAGCGAAGTTGTTATGTGCCTTCTTCTTCATCGCATTTATAGCTATTACGTATCGCATATTAGCTCATTGCGCCCTCTCAACATAGTGTTGTAGATGCACTTCCACAGTTATTAATTGAGAGCCTTCAATGCCTGTACCATTTTTGCATCAGTATAATTGTGTGGCAAGTACATTCATACTCTATCCCCAGGAAAGTCGATAAATTTTCCAACCCGAAAAATTCTTAGACCGGACCGGGAATCGAACCTAGCCACCTGCAGCATAGTCTTGCTTTGTAGTTGTGCCTTTTCCGACTGAGCTAAGGGAGGCCCTGCCGTGTGCCGTCGATACCAATTTGCATAGGAATGCAATATTATCCAATTGAAAGCCTCCTAAATAAAGCTAAATAATAATAATAATATTATCCAATTTTGTATGATTGACGAGCTTACTTTTAACTGTATTTTAAATATTTGTGGCGTGCTATGGAATGTTGGTAGTAGTATTTAAATATGCACGGTTGTTGTAGATGACATTTCAAATTCAGAGAAAAAACCTGTCATTGAGACGAAGTTAGGAGAATATCCAAATAACAATTTTGGTTTTATGAGGGTTCTGTAGACTACAATTTAGGTTTGTAGAATGCTATAAAACCTCTATAAAGCTTGCAATGTTACTTGGGAAGGTTATACCAATAATGATTCTGGTGGATTTGTGGAGACTCTGAGATAACAAAATTATAGGTGTAAATTCGTAAGGTTTTATTCACAGGCAGGGTTTTCCAGGAAACCATGAGGCAATTTTAGTCATCGATTATCGGTGAATTAAACTCAAAACTCGATTATCAGTTAATTAAACTAAAATTTGGGTCGTTCTCATTCGCCGTGCAGTTCACACCTAGAAATTATTACCGACTTCGGTAATTTTTTACCGAACTTTAAATAGCTGAACGATCGGTAAAACTTTGAATCTCATTTCAAAAGCTGTTGCACCAAAGTTTTAATTTAAACACACTGTCGGCCTTATGATCGAGTCTTGCCATTGTGGTGAAGGTTTCGTTGTTTTGAAGCTGTAAAACTGATGAATTAAAATGCCTGATTTTTAGAGAAGAGTTAAGATGTTGAAAGTCCGATCAAAATTACCGAAGTCAGTAATCATTTCTATGTATATATATTATTTTCTGCTTGATGGCACTTCTTGGGATCTTATATTCTCCAAAATATTCTTCAAGTTTTGGTCTATTGGACATGGGTATTAAATTTCATGAAACATGTTGAATTTTACGTTGAGCGAGTTCCAAAGTCAGTAGGTTTTTAATGTTATTTGTTGTGTTGTACTTTGTACAACGGCGCGAGAGCTGTTCACACCTGTGGCAGCTCATAATTGCACATACCTTCCTAATAGATCATCATTAGGCACAAAACCTGAACACGTTCAACTCTGTTGAATTATATTGGCTAATTACTCTAAAAACGAACCGTTCTAAACCGCACGGAGCCAGTTGTTCTACATCTATGCACTTCCTTAACCACTCTGCGTGCTCTTGCTAACATCAGACTTTCCAGTTCAGTCCCCAACTAGTTCAAGCTCACCGGTAGCTCCCGTTGGCGGCGCGGTGCTCGCTCGAAAGCCACCCAGCAGAGCGTAGTGCGTGCCACGGCAAATTTTATTTCTAATGGTCATCGTTCGTCATTACAGTTTACGCGTTTTGCTGCCCTGCGGCTGTACTATTGAAGAACGTCAGCGGTAATCCAGGAAGGCAAGCAGGCAGACTGGAACACAGGAGAAACCGGTAGAGTAGCCGTGTAGCAGCATCATCTTGCAAGCAGACGGCAGAAGCGGAGAAAAGGTCAACGAGACGCACGACTCTCGATACGGCAATAGATTCAATTCCTCTATGACTCCGGTGGTGCTGGCGTTTCCTCAGCTGCTGTCACCGCCGTCGTCATCGTCGTCAACGCCGTGCCATAATAGTCAATTGGTCTCGTAGAAGCATCGACTTGCGTTTCTGGCACCTATCAACTAGAGAGAGTTGACAACAGAGAGACATATCGAAGCGAAATCTCATGAATGTGATAATTAATCAGCCTTAGAATTTTTTAAATTCCTGCTTTTTTCTATACTGGACCTTAGTGTCATTGTTTTTCTGTTAAGCTGCCTGAGAACGGGAGTAAAGTTTAAGTTTGATAAATAATTTATTATCAACGAAAGAGCACTCACAGCAATGGGGAATTCAACGTCTTCGCATGAACCGCTGGAGCGGGGCTTCACCCGAGGGACTTTTGGTGATGTCAAGAATACGGTTGGTACCATGAATACTCCATTTGTTTGCGACTGATGCATACTTATTAATAGATGATTCTATAATATTCAGTTCTTGTAATATATGTGATTTAATGCGTAATTTTTATACTCCACAGAAATCTGCCTCCTTTCGACATAGCAAACGATCGCCGAAGAAGATGGATCGTTTGAGAAAATCATTCCGAGATTCGTTCCGCCGGCGCAAGGATCGCGTTCCGGAGGCGGCGAAACCTCACCAGTGGCAAGCGGATGAGCAAGCCGTGCGCTCTGCCACCTGCACCTTTCCGGTAAAGTATTTGGGATGCGTCGAGGTGTTCGAGTCACGTGGTATGCAAGTGTGCGAAGAAGCGCTCAAAGTTCTGAGGGTAGGTTTGAAGTGTTTGATGCGAAATCAATAGTCTGTACGTTTGATTTATATTCTAGAATTCCCGGCGTCGTGCAATTCGGGCTCAGCTTCATGTCAGTGGAGACGGATTACGGGTAGTGGAAGAGGATACCAAGGGGTTGATTGTCGACCAGACAATCGAAAAGGTTAGCTTTTGTGCTCCGGATCGTAACACGGATCGTGGCTTCAGCTACATCTGCCGAGATGGTACCACGAGGCGGTGGATGTGTCACGGTTTCCTAGCCAGCAAGGACACTGGAGAACGTCTGTCGCATGCCGTTGGGTGCGCGTTCGCCGTGTGTTTGGAACGGAAGCAACGTCGTGATAAGGAATGTGGTGTAACGATGACTTTCGATATGAAGAATTCGACCTTCACCCGTACTGGCTCGTTCCGACAGCAAACAATGACGGAAAGACTGGCCAACGCTGATACTGCCGTGGTAGCTCCGACTCAGAACAATAATGGGTCCAAAGCATTCAATCCGTTCGCCATTGAGCGACCACACGCTACGCCCTCGATGCTGGAACGTCAGGGAAGTTTCCGGGGTTTCACTCAGATTGGCGCGGCCTCACCATTCAAGCGTCAAATGTCGCTCAGAATCAATGATCTTCCGTCCAATGCTGAAAGACAACGAGCTTTCCTGGAACCAACTACACCACATCGAACGACCGTTTCTCCAATTCCCGAAATCTCTCCTCAACCGCCCACGGATACCGTCAGTCAGCTCTGTCAGGAACTAAGTCAAGGACTTTCTCTACTCACCAAGAACGATGCAGATGATTTCTATCTGCAAAAGGAGGCAAATAGTCTTAGCAACATAACCAGTGCAGCAATCGTTGGTAGCTATCTAACAAATATGTCATCCACTACTAGTCCAGCCGATCTAGCAGCGACCAGCTCCATCAACCCCTTACCGAACGTCTATGCGCCCAGTTCCAACACCCTCTCGCAACCGACGATTCCTCCACGTTCGTTGTCCCCGATACAGCAACAAACGGTAGATCTGTCACTTAGCTCCACCCTAACCGGTAGCTCCGTCGCCTCCAACAGCATACTGGCCTCTTCATCTTCCGCATCAAATATCGGAACCGGCCCCTCCCCGCAGAAAGTAGTTCCAGTGGAAACGGCCTCGCCACTACCCAAGCCGGAACAGTGGCTCGGGCAGATAGTGAAAAATGTGTCCCCTTCGCCGCGGCGTACTCTGACGCTGCACTCCCGGACCAAGTCGCTCAACGCGACCGACCCATTCGATGCCGAGTGGGTGGCCGACGTGGCCAAGCCGGAGATCCACAGTACCAATCCGTTCATTTCACCACCGAAGCCTCCGGCGCAAAGCTTTCAGGTGCACTTGTGAAACCTGGCGAGCGGGTGGCGGGCTGAGGACGCAAATGGTGCTTGAACTATTAGGCAGTGTTTAAATTTAGAGGAGGGGTCCCACGGAACCCGGTAGGAAGTTGCTCGAAGTGATGCCGAACCGGAAGGCCGATAGTACTTACTCAAAACTACTCAAACATTCTGATAGCATTTATTTAGTTTTTTTTTTCGTTGGTCGAAGGTTAGGGTTTTTGTGAGGCGAGTATAACGTGAATCCTGAAATGGTTAGGATTTGTAGCGGAAGTCCAGTGTACAAATGATTTGTGGGGAAGCGTTGTAGACTTACTGAGTGGTTACTTGATGATATCTTCAATATAAGCTTGTTTTTGGAAACATAATGCTTGTACTGTACATTTTAGTGAGATCAACGAAGTCCATATTTTATGCAGTCCCGATCAGTATTTACAACTATACTTGGTGTAACTAACACAATTGTTTAATTTGTACTATACCATATTGCCCATTTTCACGATATTTTACTTAAGTTATCATGATTTTTAGTGTAAATTTACGTCAAATGTGTGCGCAATGTTTCAGAAATTAACAGATTTTTTTCAAACGGTGTGCTAGACGACAAATCTTGAGCTACACGCAAATAAATTTCTGTTACATCCAATGCAAGGCTGGATTTATTACATCCTCTGCATATGTTTCATATAACAAATGTAATGGCAATTCTTGCAATGGACTGCAGCGTGCAACCAAGTTCTTAGAATGCATATTTCGGAATAAAACCTTCACGAGATGATTTTTTGAACTTTGTTAGAAAATTAAACAGGCATAAAATTATAAAATAATAAAAAAAAAACATCGGGCGACTACATTACAGAATCTGTTCATGTCGTGAAACATTGCAAATTATGCATATTTTTCAAGCAAATCTGTAATAGAACCTTGTATTTCCCTTTTGGATGTGGCAGTGAGGTTTAGAACGCTAGACTTATTGAAGTCATGCTCAATGGACTTTCCCCTTAAAAGAATGCTTGGTAAATAAATTGATAGTTTAGATAATCTCTGGAATATCTGAAAAAAGAGGTTCTTCCCTAATGTGGCCAATACACACTGTAGTCTTATTGTACAATATATGGTTTTACCATATATCGTACGTTGTCTGGTAAAACCAACGGTTTTACAACCAGATTGCAGTGTGAATTGGCTTCATAAAGGAAGATTGGCCGGATGTAATTTCGAAAAAAACCAACCTTCCTACAAACAATTTGTACACGAAATTGTTGCAAATTCGAGCCGCATGAAACAGATTTTCTGTAAAAATTATCTGAATTTGTTTGAATAAAGACATATTAGATGAAAGGGTTATCAGAACCATGCGCAGAATGAGATCAAACAAGATTATGAAATGCTAAATCAGATCAAAAATGCAGCTTTGAAAGCTTTACCTATATATCTGTATACCTTAATAGAAAAAGAATAAGAAGAAGGAATAGAAATCGAGAACAAACAATTATTACCCAACTTAGCACTTTACACCACTTCACCGAAAACAAATGAAGAATTCAAAACAAACACCTTATAGACGTATTCCAATATACCGTATAGTAGAATAACATTACCAGATCAAATCTTACCCGTAGGAGCTAAATATTTTGTAGTTAAATTCTCACACAGAAACACCCAGCATAGAGAAAAATGAAGCGGAACCTATGATTAAGTGCACAAACACACCCACCCTCCCTACATACCATCCGTTCCCGAGACGGTATGCAACACAACATCAACAACAACAATAACAGCAATTCCGGTGGTGTCTGCGACGGACAGCATGGGTACAGCTTTCAACTGTACGTTACACGACCAATGAGAGTAACTCAAAATTGAGGTGAATTGGACTCAAAATTGCAAAAAAGTGGGGTTTACCATTTCCAGGTACCTAAAACTTCTTGAATGTAAGAAAAATCACTAAGTCAATTCACGGCCAATGAGAGCAACTCAAAATTAAGTCGAATTTGACTCAAACTTACTGTTTACTAACATACTGAGTAGCCCCACTTTTTGAAACTTTGAGTTGAATTCGACTCAGTTACTGAGTTATTCTCATCGACCATGTATGAGAATTAAAAATAACTGAAATGAGATCATAAAAAGTACTTAAAAAATCCACATTAGCGAATACAAAATATGTCAGATAAACCTTAGCTGATAACTGCAATCGAGCAGTATCGTGAAATTAGTTGAATATTATTATCAAAACCAGAGTATTGTGATCAATGTATAGAACATTCAAACCATCGTCAAATACATATTATATTATTACCGGAATGATGGTTAACGCCTAAGTGAAGTATTCGAGGGAAGTTGATTTCGCGCATGAAACGAATATGCTGTTGATTTTACTTCTATAGAATGACCATACATTTTACAGGCAACAGGGAGATTTGCTTTATTTGGAGAGTATTAAATGGTGTACTTAGTGGCAGTTTTGATTGTGTAAATATTCGTTCGTAGTGCGGAATTATTTTAGTGTTTAATATGTAGATAGATGTGTACATATTTCCCGGTATTAAACAGCTTCCTTTTGAAAATGAAACTTTACATTCTGAACAGTGTTGTAAGCTGGCAAGTATAAAAAATGGAAATGCAACGACTCGAAAGCGTCATCCTCGTATGACATATGATGTTTTGCAGCTTCTTTTGGAGCAATTTTTGAAAATTCCATTGAAATTTTATAGTTTGATCGGTCAAATGCTATAGTGTATATTAAATTAAAACAGTAACCCAGCTACCACAGTAATATCCACACAAGGATGTACAGTGAATCAAGATCTTGTATTATAATTTCCAGTATGTTGTAAGTGTACTTTCTAGAAACAAATAAATGCCTTGTAAAATTATGATTTTCTATGTTTATTTTTGCTTTATCCATCATTTCCTTTGCTTTTCGTTGGCTTTGTTTAATCTTATCGGTAGAAAGTTGTTAGCACATGAATTATTTCCATAGGGTGAAATGTTTCCAGGTCTTGGTTCGAGTCATCGGAACACATGTCAACCAGGGCATCATCCTCAATTTGCAACATTTCCTCATTTCAGTTCAACTTCATAAACCGCATACGCATAAGACATAGGGTTAATCGAATATATGCGACATATCAATTTTTGGGCACCTTAACCACAAGCCTTCAGTCAGAGCTATTTATCGTTATACACCACTTATCACCTGAATATGCATTCGAACCTTGCATTTACCACCAAAATGGATATCATTTCACCAATGAACGGATTATTATTAAACAAGAAGATTTAAGAAAAATGTGATTATTTTTATGAAGGTATAGACATATTTTTACCTTGAATTGTACCTATAAAGATGTTTAAATAATCATCAAACAAAAGAGAAAAAAATGCTTTGATAAAAAACGCCTGTGTAGTAAGTTTACTCTATCGTCGACTAGTCCTAACCACTAATGGTAAAACTAAACTGATTATTTATGCAAAAGAAAAAAAAAATCCTGTGAAAGTAAATTATACATACACGCACTTTATACAGAAGTACGGATAACCCCTCTTCGAGACAAAGAAAAAAAGGTGAGTTATGAACAAAGCACACGTTGAAACGCTTTCCATGTTGCGCGGGTTGTCGTAATTACGAGGGTCTAAATAAGAACAAAACAAAAGAAGCAAGAATTCCCGATTACGACACTATTGGTACCAATTTATTGCATTGTTGATAACTATATAAGGATACTGACATAATATTGAGCCGTGAAGTACATACAATATTGACGACATGAATAAAACAGATATTAAATGAAATGATGGTGCTTTGTATTGTTTGAAAGGTTGAGAAAGATTTGGTTTAGATGAGTTCACCAAGAGCTACTGTTCATTTTTCATTGCGGTCTCTGTTCCGCAATATAGATGGCATTCGAATGTGCAGAAAAGCAGCTTCCACACCTACGTAGAATATCGCACCCATTCAACAACACGCATGGGCCGGGACCAACGGCTTTACTTCCCTTGCGAAGGAAGACGTGACCAAAGATTTTTATGAAAAATCCCACCGACCTTGGCTGGGATTAAACCCAGACCCATTGAAATGTGAAAGCAGTAACGCTTACCACTAAACCACCAGCGCCGGCCTAAGAGCTACTGTTGGGAGGTATGGTTTTTTCCCCCAATTCATTTAACATGACTCAACTGTCTTAAAAATTCTACATAATTTAATTTAATAAAAACCCTGATTATGCCACATTACATGTACCAGTTACAAATGCTTTTCTCTAATATTATATAGTTGTACCACATCCTCGCTCCGGTATACAATACCTACATACGCATCGTATCCGGCCTTCTCCCTTCCACGCCTGCAGACGCCGTATGTGTGGAAATCGGGATCCTCCCTTTCCGCTATCGATCTGCTGCAGCCATTGCTACGAAAGCCGCTGATCTCGCTGCTAAGACATCCGGGAACGAAAGGGTCTTATTCTCCTCAACGAGGGAAACAGAGCCATCCGCACTGCAGCCAACCGTGACCTCCCCCCGGTGGCCAGGGTCCACTGGCATGGAGAGAAGAGTTGGCGATCAAACGTCGTCAAAATAGATAAGCGGATTAAGAGTGGATTACAAGCCGGAGATAACTTTGTAGCTTTGAGACTTTCTGTTGCAGAGCTTCTTGGGTCGGTTCGAACACTGCAACGAGGAGTGTTCCGTGTTTTCTGCTGAAGCCGAAGCTATTCTAGACGCAGCCATCACTCCTTTAAGGCAGATCAACTGATATTCGTGTTAATTGATTCACAGCGTCATCCAAGCGCTGGAAGCCGAAGCCCCGAGCCACCCCTGGATACAAGCCATTACACGGTACGCCCTACCTTCAACCGTCTTTACGTGGATCCCCGGACACTTCGGTGCTCCCTGAAAAGAAGCTGCGGACAGGCTGGCGGGATCTGGTGCATCCCGTCCCTGCTACACCAGGAACGTACCCCTCTTAAACGCTGTCCAGACTGGAGAGTTATAACATGTTATAACAGTTGTCAAATAATTGCAACACAGAAACCACCATCAAGATAGCGCTATAACATGTTATAACTGTGTAGTCTGAACGTACTATTAGACGGCAGGCGTTGGATTGCAAATACTATTATGGAAGCCTGGCAGCCAAGGGACGCGCACTTACAGGTCTAATTGAGTGATATTTAAATACATCGTGGTAATTTAAATGCTGTGAAGACAGTACTAATTTGAATTTAAATACTTTACGCCGTATTGAAGGTAATCAACAAATAATGGACGATAATACTGTAATGAATAATAATTTAAATGTATTGAAAATAAATAAGATATAAAATTTTGTTGGTAATTAAAGTATTTAATGAAATTAAGAGTGTATTTAAAATAATAAAAACAGTAATGACAGGATTTTAAATATTTGGTCAGCAGGCTGCTTAGTATTGAAAGACTAGTGCGTGCCCCTCGCAGTCCGGAGTCTTGAGATGATCCGCTGGTCCTTGTAATTTTGGCTGTCCAGCCAGGGGCGTACGGTTTCCTTGATCTTCCTCAGGAAAGTGGTCCGTGACTGGAACCATTCCTGGTGATAGCGAGGGGCACGCAATAACCTTTAACTTCAACGCAGGCAACGGCTGTAATTAAATTAATTCCATTAACTACTGCTTTAATTACATTAATTGCACAGTGCAGAACATTAACTTCTTTTCAAGTCCATTAATTACAGACGAAATTTAATTATTAAAGTACATTAATTACAGTTTCAATACTTTTAATTACATTAAGTACGGATAGCTTACTTTAATTACCGTCAGTACTACTTCAAAACGCATTAATTACTTTAAGTACTTTGGATTGCATTTTAACTTCAACTCATCGGTTCTTTGCATTGCGTGCTCCTCGTGAAAATGCTAAACATTCTCTACCCAACAAGGAGAATTCCAAAAATTCTCGCTTCTCTGTGAAGGTCCAATTGACCTTCGCCACCTCCAAGAGAATGCTACTGATTCTTGACCCATCAAGGAGAATTTCGAAAATTCTCGCTTCTGTATCAGATATTGTTCATCATTTTTTATAGATTGAAAGACGAAAAAAAAAAAACATAACCTTAAAACGTACCACTAAATTTATCACGAAACTTCTCTAACAACAGTGTTCCAAGCTCAGCTAGCACAACACTCTGACAGACCGAAACCGCATGAAAACAGAAAAAGAACGGGCACTATCGATGAATAATTTTCCTATTTCGAAGAGCATCCATAAATCTGTCGGTGTTATTTACCTTCCGCGGTTCTCCAAGTCGCCAATTGTAGAATTTGTGCCCTGGTCTCCTGGATGTTGTCCCGTCGTCTCCTTCAGTCTCCGTGGAATCCGTCCGTCTTCCTCTTCTCGTACACTCAAAAAATATTGAAATCCCAATAGTATAAAAGCTACGCTAAATCGTAATTCTCCGTACCGACGCAAAGGTCGGTATAAAGGGAGAGAATGAAAACTTACACAGATAAAAATTCTGAATTTTAATTGTGATGTAAACATTCATTCACGTAAACTTAAATTTAATTTCACACAACCGAGCAACTTGTAAACAATGTTGTTTTCAAAGATGGGCTTTTGTATACAATATTTGCTACATTGCATGAATTGTGCTAGAACTTTACATGATATATAATGTAAACTTATATGATATATGATGCTCCATTTGTGTGCATCATATTGAACAGAAATTTACACTACTTTTCGAACTGTGTAGTATAAAAATGGTTTATGCATGCCATAGTATAAATCGAAATATACTTTCAATGCATAGATACGATTTATTCGAGAGAATGATTTTTCGCTTCTTTATTTTATTTATGGAAAATATTATTGTTTTCAAATATAAATAAAAATTGTCTCAGGAAGCTTTTTTGATTAGTTTATTTTTTATGAATATTATTAAAAAAAAATACTTACAATTTCGATGCTGCACAGCAGATCACAGGCGCAGTAGAAATCAGCCGGGACAAAGCTCTTCACCAGCACGCATAAAATGCATAAAATTTAATCTAAATTCGTTTTGTAATATTTTTGAGTGTACGTTTAATCAATCCCCTCGTCAGCGTTGCCAGATTATTTTAAAGCTTATCGGTATCAAAGGTATTAAAAAATCGGTATTTATCCTCGTATTATATCGGTATTTACTATTAATTTAATTTTATATTTTTGCCGTTTTTGAAAACGAAAATGAAAATTGCTTTGTTTGACAGCTTTCTCAGTCTTGAAACACTCTTTAATTTTTTAATTTAACTTTTAAAATTATCGTTGTCCTCAATTGGTGATCAAAATTGTGACCAATTAGTGTTTTTTTCAATTAAATATCATTAAATGAAACCAAAATATGGAAAATCAGCCACAACAACGACTAAACTATTGACAATAACTACAAACAATATTTTCCCTTGAAAAAAGCAACAATCCATGGCCAAAATGTCGGGCAGATTACATCGTAGTCGTTGCAGTGTTTTAAGACTGAGAAAGCCGGCAATCAAAGCAAAATTTTAGCTTTTGAACTATAATCGGAAAATTCCGGAAGAAAACTCCGGGGAATGTTTGAATAAGCTTCTAAATGGAGCTGTAAAAACATCCAGAGAAAGACAAAAGAAGCTCTACTGGATGAAGTTCGAGAAAAGCTGGAAAAACATCCGGGAAACTACCAAGACACGAATTTAGAAAATTTTAATAAACTATCGAAAAAAATCGGATGTCACATCCAAAAGAAGCCAGAAAAGTTTCGAAAACCGGAAATAAATTTCCAGAAATAACCATTTCCAGGGAAAGCCAGAAGAAGCTCGGAAAAATCTTCCAATAGAAGTCGAACAAAAAAAAAATCTTTGGCTTATGGTCAAACGTCCAG